GCCAATCAGCGCTCCCATGTTTATGCATGAGGCAAACCCTTAGCAGTGTGATGATGCATCGTGGTTCTTAATGGCAACTTCTTCCTTTGGGTTTGGGACTGAGGTCTTTCTGTCGGTGGTATTTATTTATGCATGGAGCCTGTTACAGTCGTGGCGCAGTTGTGTTTGCATTGGCACTGGGAAAACACGCCCCGTGGGGGGGTCAGTGCTGCTCAGGCCTGCTGGAGGGGGCAGCCCCTCACTCAGCCCCTCTGCCCCGGGGTCAGAGGGGTTTGCCAAGGTGCTTCACACCCCTTTGATTTGTCCCCCGTGTCACCAGCCGCATTCAGGCTCCAGCCCCCCCCCGGTTTCCAGCTGGGCTGTGTTTTCCCTCCGGGTCCAGCTCCCCAGCCCTGCTGTTCCCCCAAATCCTGGGTCACCCTGGCCATAAAGCCAAACCAACTGCCCCCTCCACTTCACCCTGGGTGCAAGAGGGGGAGCCACAGCCTTCTGAGTCCGTCAGTAGAGTGTTTATATCGTCTGTCATTAAGGGTCTTTTAGAGATGTGCTTTCATTAGTGCAAAGAGACATTTTTTTCCTTTGGCCTTACTCGGTAGGTTGTGATGATTAACGAAAGCTGTGTAATACAGTCGGGGTTATCTTCCTTCCCTCATTTCTCTGCCAAAGACAGTCACGGCTACAAGAGCTTTAACCAGGGGTTTTTTGTCAGACAGTTGATGATTGTAAGAGCGGTTTAATCTTCCCGAGAGCTTTTCCACGTTCTTCCGCAATAAGCAGACCCGGGGTGGTCCGGGCGGATCCCACCACTCCTCCCCGACGGGTTGGAGAACCCACCACACCTGCATTTCTCAGTCCAAAGGCAACAAGGGGTATGTGAGGCCATGGCTGGCTGCCGGTCGCCAAGGCACCTGTCTTATGAAATCTAAGGTCTATTTTATTATGTCGTTTTATGTCCTTTTTTAACTTCGTGGAAGGTGACACGTCGAACTGAGTGTAAGCCGAGTTTTTCAGACGAATAAAAGTAGCTGAAAGAGTGAATGTTATTTTATCATTAAAGGGTTTTTAACTCACTGATTTGTGCCAATAGATGTCCTTTATCTCAATGACAAGTATTACATTGCTTTCAAAGTTTTATTTATAGCTATTGATGTAAAACCCACACACACATATTATTTGCCAAAGTTCAATAAAGGAGGAAAACAACACTTTTGCTTCCTTGTGCCATCAAAAGTTCCTGTTTTTTTCCAGGGTTTTTTTTCCACCTCGGCCTGATCCCACAGCATGGGGTGAGGTGGAGCCCAGCCTGGGCTCGGGCTGCTCTCAGGGGTTTGGAGGGGTGAGGAGAGCTGAGCACAGGACCCAGTGTAGGGCCACCTCCATGTCCCATCCCCGGGGCAGCACTGCACGCTACATTATCTGGGATCTACCCTTGGCACCGAGGTTGAACCTTGGGGTTAACAAACTTCCTGAAAAATTCGTTTTCGCGCCCGTTCTCTCCGCGTCCCCCTCTCGCACCCAGCCAGACCCTGCCATTAATTAAATTTGCGCTGCTTCATTTCACTCTGCTGAGCGGCCGCAGATAAAGGCAGAGCTGCCTCCTCAGCACTTTGTGTCACAGAGCCCAGGTCCCCTTCCTAGGCAGGGCTCCAGCCTCCTCCAGGGCAGGGAGAGGAGCACGTGAGCCACCGGGAAGGGGAAAATCGCTGTCACACCAGAGAGAGAAAAGCAGTGACAGCGAGACTGATGCAGCCGCGGCGGGTCATTTCCATTTCACTGGCGGGATCGCTCCCCCGGGAATGCATTTTCCAGGCACTTAGCAGTGGGCACAGCTGGGAGAAGGAAAGGGGGCCATTTCATTAAGCTGCCAAAAAGCTGACGGATGATCTGGGTGGGTGGCAGGGCTGCAGCTGGGCTGGGATGCTGCACCAGCATCAGCTTGTCCCAGTGCCAGGCACCGGGGTCTGGGGCTGACTCGGTACCCAGGGAGAAGGGATCGACTTCCCTGTCCCCGCTGGAGCTCACTTCAGTGAACTCCCCTCAGCTCACTGTCTCCCAACCCTGCCAGGGATCACGCAATTATTCCAGGCTAAAATGCGTTAAAACCCCTCCGATTGGTCACCAGCGATAAAAACCAAACCACCAAAGCAGCACTCCCATCACAGGGACGCAGGGACACCCCGGGGCAGCCAGGCTGGATGGTGGTGGGGACCCCGGGGTGCTCCCCAAAACCTTCACCCGCATTGCAGGGCAGAGCAGCCCAGCCCTAAGGAGCAGGTGCCTCCTCCTCCTCCTCCTCCTCGGGCAGTGCCGGCAGCGGCAGTGCATCCGTCAGGATGAACCTGACAGTAATGATCTGCCGTGAGGGACCCGCAGGGAGCACAGCGCGGGTCCCTCCTGACTGCAGATGAAGTGCCGGCAGCTTCCCCGATCCCAGCGCTCCGCGGCCCTTGAAACCCTGCGCCAATTCCCTGGGAACGGAGCCCGGGAGGCAGCCCTGCAGGGAAAGCTGCACACCCGCACCGAGGGGGCAGGGGGAGAGAAGGAGGTTTCTTTTGAGGAGGAAAGCAGCGGGAGCTTCTGCAAGATCACCGAGATGTATTTTCAGCACGCGTGGGATGGAGGCGCTTAAAGAAAACAAGCACGGGCGGCACAGCAGGGTGGGATGGTCGGGAGAGAACAACCACTGTCCATGAACACCCCGAGAACACGGCAAGGGCAGCTCTGCACCCTCCGGGAGCTGCCTTTGGCCCCCCCCCAAACCTCCGGCAGCAGCTCCAGGGTCCGGCTCAGAAAGGGATAATGGCAGGAAGCCGTAAGATATTAAACCAGCAGATTAAAACAAACAAGACCACTTTGGGTCATGTTACACATCCCTTCCCTCCCCGGCTGACAGCTAAGAAATGCAAGGCAGTAAAAGACAACCGTAGCCCATAATGGCCCAGTAACTCCGGGATAAAAGCGCTGGGGGAGTTGGATGTGAGGAGCCCCCCCACCCCCGGAGCCGCTACGAGCATTATCCCTTAAGTGCTCGTTTAAGCTTCCTTGGAAGTGCCGCCTGCCCGCTGGAGAAATGCAATTAGGCCTCGATTGCGGCTGATGTTCACACGTTATGGATCATCCTTAAAAATGACAGCACAAGAACTCTGGATTCCGCATGACAGCCGCCTCTCCATCCTTCCAGGAGGAACAGCAGCCCCCAGCAACACACCCGCCCTGTTCCCACGGGCACGGGCAGGGAGGGCAGGGACCTGTGTGCTGCTGGGCCATGGGCAGCATCAGGGGCCAGCCCTGCCAGGGCAACAGAGGGTACAGACCTTCCCAGAGAGCACGTTCTTTACCAGAGGGTACAGCTTTTACAGAGGGCACAGACCTTCCCAGAGAGCACGTTCTTTACCAGAGGGTACAGCTTTTCCAGAGGGTACAGCCTTCCCAGAGGGCACAGTCCTTCCCAGAGAGCACAGTCCTTCCCAGAGGGCACATTCTTTCCCAGAGGGCACAGCCCTTCCCGGAGGGCACAGTCCTTCCCAGAGGGCACACACCACATCACCCTCCCGCCAAAATTAATAGCATCAAATGATCTCACACCCCCCCACGAATTCCGAGCTCCTTGAGCAGGACCCTCCCTGTGCCCACACGAAGCGTGAGGCGCTTGCACGCCCAGCAATGTCTGCGAGCCCCAGCCCGCCCTGGAGCTGATCCTCCCGCCCTCAGCCGCATGTACCTGCTCTGCAGTTCCAGGCTCCTCCGGATCCCACATCCCGGCGCTGTCCGGGGAGGTGCTGCTGTTCCTGAGGGCTCTGTCCAGGCTCGGTCCTGCTCTGCCCTCAGCTCTGCCCGCGTATTTCAGCTCTCGGCCGCCGGGTCCGGGGAGAGGCGCCGGTGAGGGGAGATTTCCCGCGCATTCCTGAGGGCGCCGGAGCCTCCCACAGAGCGGCGGGAGGGAACGCTGCCCCTCAGCCATCGGCGAAGAGGTGCTTTGCCGCGGGCAGGGACAACTGGCCCCGTCCAGCCCGGTCCTGACACCTCGGGGGTGAGGAAGGGCTTCCTTTCCCCCTCACGGCCCCGGGATCTCTCGGCCTTTGGGGCTCGGATGTCACGGGCGGCGCTCCCAGAGCGACCCCTGAGCCCGGGGGGATCAAAGGCCACGGCTCCCGGAGATGATCCCTCTCCAGACACACAGTCCACCTGAAAAGGACGCCGTCCAGCCAGGCCAGTGGATTTAAATTAAATAACCTTCTCCTGCCACTTACCGCTGAGCACAAATTTAGCAGGAGAGAAAAAAAAAAAGGGCAGGTTTTAGACCTGGTCCAAATTCATAAATCCCTGTGCTCCATGGGCAGAACTTGCTCCTGAGGGCTTGAAATGGTGAATTACAAATAAATCCCTTGCCCAGGGCACCCCGGGTTGTGCTGCTGGAGACAAGTACTTCCACACAGCCCACACACCCTCGGGAATTTGCTCACAGAAACACAAGGAGGAACGTGGCCAAGCAGGAAAGCAGGTGGAAAGTGAGCCCTTCAGAAGGAAGGAGGGAAGGAAAAGTGCTTCCACAGTGTCAGAGGACATTTTGGATTCAAATATGACACTGCTAAAGCTCTGCCGTGCTCACACCCCTGTTTAGAGGTAAAACAGAAAGCTGAGATTGCAGAGGAAAGGAAGGAAGGACCATCACTGCTCTCCTCCTCCATCCACCCCCCTCTCTCCCTGTCACAACTCAGTAACAAGAGCTCACTAATGGATCAGCTTAAGCATCCAACAGCTCCAATCACTGCTCTAGAAAATAATCAATCAAGCACTTAATTTGTAACATCAGCAAGGAGCTGCCCAGAGACCACGGAATAAATTATCCAGCACAGGTGGGACCCAAACCAGGGCAAACCTCGGAGTCACCGTCGTCTCCAGCCTCTTTAGGGGGTGTAACCCACCCCAGCCTGACTCAGGGGTGCAGAGAGGACCCTAAACACCAGCATAAAGGGCTCTCAGAAAGACACATGGCTCAGTCATTTCTTCCAAAAAAAGTTTAATTGAGATTCCATCCTTATGGTAAACAACACACAGTAGGATTATCCAAATGGGCTGTGTTACATCAGTGGAAGTCCTTGGTCAATCTGAAATGCATATGTTGGGCTAAAAGCAAGAACCTGTGCTCATCTGGCATTAAGAGAATCAAAGGAACTGCTCTCACTTGCAGTCTACACCTCGTGGTGACTCCCAGCTCTCTGGGGTAGTGGAAAGGGAGAGTACACTGAGCTTTTAGGTGTGCCTAGGAAAAGCCTGGCCCCTCTGAACTCAGCTGTGCTCAGACACCCTCCCCACACCTTTTGGTGCCACAGCACCTTTTGGAAGCTCCCACCTCCTCTGAAGCGCAGCCAGGACCGAGGGAGACGTGAGAGAGGAGCTCAAAGGAGAAAAACTTCAACTCAATAAAGAAAAGACAAAAGCCAAACTACAGAGAGTGTGAAATCAGGAGAACAACCTCATCCCCTTTACTTCCCATTTCTCTCCTCAGGACACTACTCCTGTCCCTAACTCCTTGATTTCCAGTCGATATCCCGAGGCCAGAGCTCCGCAGTGCTGGCTGGGAGTGCTGGTGGGAAGCAGGAGTGCCACTGCTAACGATCCCACTGGATGGGTGTCCAAGGAGCAGGGTTCTCCCAGGTGCTGCAGGCGTGGGAAGGGCTCTGGGTCCGGAGTCAGTAGCACCAAAGGTTTCACAACGTGCAGGAGGGACACAGGGAACACCCACGGGCAGGAGGAGCAAGGCTGCAAACTCCGGAGCTACACACCACTGGAAAGGGCTGAGGAAGGCACATGCAGAGATGGGATTCATCCCTCCTCGGGGCAGACACTCACCCAACCCAGTGACACTGGCTGTGAGAGACGAGGGGCTCCTCAGAAACCTCTGATAAAACTAACAAACAGTACCACCAGCTCCGGGAGACAGGCCCCGTCTGCTAAAAGCTGGAAAATTAAGTGGTTTCTACATGATGGCCTAATAGCAGCAACGGAGTAATTATCCCACGTGCGGTTAGAACAGTCAAAAGTGAATTTTAAGTACCTCTTATTACTGGGGACAAACATAATGCCTCAGAATCAGTGCCAGCTTGTACTTTCAGCGCTCTCTCCAGCATGGGGATGGAAAGCCAGTCTGTATTTATAGTACCACAAGGTTCATATGAAGGCAAACCTCACTCTCCACACTTGGAAATGTGCTGGTCACAGCCTGGCCCACCCCAAGGTCCACGTCCCCTTCAGCTGGGAGGAAACAGGAGTAGGAAGATTTGATAAACCAGATCGTTTTCCACTGCCCCCTAAGTGTCACACAGAGAAGGGGGAACAGAGAAAGTTCTGTGTCCAAGGAGAGACATAAGGCCAGTGTCCCCAGACATGCTGGACATTTGTGCTCCTCTTTCCTGCCAAGGCAGCAAGCAGAGAGCAAGGATGGAGCACGAGAGGGAGAAGAGATGCCTCTGGCTCCCTGCCACTGCCACAGGCACAGGCTTGGAGGGTCAAGGAAGACTTAGTTCTGTGAGGGACAGCAGTGATGCAGGAGGTTCTGGCACTGCAGGAATCTCAGTCTGTCTCCCTCTGGGAAGCAGCTGTGGCAGTGGATCAGGGGGATTTACACCACTCCAAGTGGGCAGCACTTGGCCCACAGGCTGCCCTACACATCCACCCGCTCCTTTAGCATCCTGCCTTTAGTTCTTCCAGCAGGACAGGACCAAACAAACCCCTGACACGCCACGAGGGGCCTCTTCTCTCCTTAAACACCGTTCTGCAAAGAGCAGAGGTTCAAACTGGCCGTGCCTCACCTTTACCTGAGCAGATGAACCTGGACGAGCAGCGTGGCTTCCCAACCACCAGCAGGGGTTGCCAGGAGCCAGCCTGCACTGCCCCAGTCCCAATATTCAGTGCTAAGGACATCAAGTAAACGTGCTCCCGAGGAGGAGGGGACAGCTGCACTACCACAGGTATGGCTCAGAACGGGGTCACAGCTCTGGGGAGGTCCCTGTGCCTCGAGGGGACACTGCCAGGGTCCCTCTGGGGGGCTGAGTGGGGCCAGCAAAGCCCCTCCTGGCCCAGAGCACCCTGGGGCTGCCCCCTCAGGCACCTGCAGTGTACAAATGTAAATCACTCCTCACTCATCATCTCCATTTAAATAACGTCCAGGGAGCCAGATCAATCCCACCTGTGGCACTCCACAGGTATCCCACAAAACCCACAGCACCGTGGCACAGTAGAAAGCACAGAGGAGATCTATAAACCTTCTGGAGAGCAAGCCTGACTTCCTAAACTTACTTAGCCAAACTGAGAAAGCCCTTTTTAATGAAAATAACACTAATTTAAAAAGCCATTCTGCTTAACATGTTTCCATGCACGCTCCTGCTGGATTTGAAACACGCAGTTGCAATGGAACATGATCTTCAGTATCACCCAAGCAAGGCTTACTCCTTTCAATTCATGCTCTTCAGATGCTCTCCTGCAGATAATGACAATGTTTTTCCTAGAAAATGTAAACAATTTTTGTGCATTCTACTGTCCCAGCTAAGCTGTCACCGGAAGTTTCTGGTAGGAGAAAACCAAACAAAACAAAGCCTTATCTTTATGCCCTAAAAAAAAAATAATAATATATATATATATATATACACACATTATTAAAAAGCATTAGAAGTCACTTGATTTCCAAAGTCTCCAAAGCCAGCTGCAAAGTCCCTCTCAGAAGAGACAACTGGTGACTGTGCTGGTCAGACTTGCACCTTAAGCAAACCCAAAATAACTGCACACTCGAGCTGGCAAGCTGAAGGTAACGCATTCGTGACCAACCTGCACACAAATAAACCCTGCATAGAAAGAGAAGCTAATTTAAAAAAGCTGGGGGAGTTTCTCAGTGCTGGGCTCAGGCTAAGCACCCTCAGGGCCGGGTGACACAGGATCTCCTCCCACCTGACAGGAGAAATGCCCTTATTTCCCTACGGCCTACAAACTCTTCTCGAGCACAAAGAAAACATCAGAAAAATGAAACCAAAGGCCAGTTGCCCCGTGCTGTCACGGGGAGACCACGAGTCTCTAAGGGGGTCTCCTCCTTTGCCTGGGGCCGTTTCCTTGTCCGGGGGCAGTTCCCGTGGGATGGAGGTGGCTGTGCCAGGCGGCTGTGCCGGGCTCACAGCGGCTGTGCCGGGCTCACAGCGGCTGTGCCGGGCGGCTGTGCCGGGCTCACAGCGGCTGTGCCGGGCTCACAGCGGCTGTGCCGGGCGGCTGTGCCGGGCGGCTGTGCCAGGCTCACAGCGGCTGTGCCGGGCTCACAGCGGCTG